GTTCGCTCTTAGTGTTCTTTACAAAGCTGGGCCTTTGGGCTGAATTCAGAACACACCTCTTGAGCCACATGTGCTCGGAATACCGAGGTTGATTGTGAGACGGCTGATGAACACGCTGGGCACCCACCAGAGCACTGCGTGACGGCGTGCTTCGGGGAGAGCCGTGCGGGTGTCGCCGGGCCCCGCGGGTGGCGGAACTCGCCGTCCTCTGCCCCGAGGAGGAGGAGCACGTCTAAAAGTGTACTCTTCTGTTTCAAGTGCGTGGTCCTTTTAGTGAATGGATCTTCAAAGCATATTTGGTTAAAATCACACCTTGAAGTAGGAGCCGCTGTGAAATATTAATTTCATCGTGTTGACTAGCCCTTGTAACGTATTTGCCTGAGTCATAGGAGCAACTTTTAGCATCTACTTTCTTTGGAACCAGTTTTGGTTTTAAATGTGTATCATTTCAAATACTTTGTCTTTCATAGTGTATGTGTGAATATATTTATTCCATTTCTGAAAAGTTTTTTTTCTTTTCTTTTTTTTTTTGGAAACGAGCTCATCTTGTTGGCCGGGCATGAGTGTGTGGCATCAGCCTCGCTCACAGCAACACCTCAACTTGGGCTCAAGCGATCCTCCTGCCTCAGCCTCCCAGGTAGCTGGACTACAGCATGCGCCACCATGCATGGCTAATTTCTATATATTATTAGTTGGACAATTAATTTCTTTCTTTATAAGTTAGAGGATGGAGTCATGCATGAGACGCACGTGATGAGCTTGCAACGTCGTTCATACCTGGGCAGGTGCCGCACACGGCATGGCAGTGGAGACGTGAGGAGCTTGCGCCTCTGTTCATACCTGGGCCAGGTGGCACACCGCCTCATGGCAGTGAGCATGTGTTGGGCAGGTTTCGCAGGGGTGGCCCTGTCTTGCGTTTATCTTCCCTACGAGTGTTTTCCCTCATGGTGCCTTACAATATAATAACCCTTTCTCTACCCTTCTGGTTGAAGAGGCGGCATGAATAGGTTATCATTATTAATTTGTGGCACAACGGCGACTTTTAAAAACATTAAGGCCTTGTTAAAGTTTTGGAAACCCCGAATGGCCGAAGCTTTCAATGTGAAATCAAGGCACCCATCCTTCCTAGAGCTCTATAGTTTTAGGGAAAATCATACTTTTATTAAACTTTAAAAGAAGATAATCTCCACATTCCCGAGAATACAAATTTCACACAGACTTTAAAATGAAACAGGAACGTGAGAACGTTGTGCTGGAGACACGGCCGGCCTGCGGGCCGGAGGAGATGTCTCATTTTCTCGCCTCTAGGCTGCCTGGAGGGATCTGGGTCCGGGTCGAACATCCGTGTCCAGTCCTCCCACCACTTGCATTTCAGCACGGAGTTCCTTCATAACTAGACCCTTAGAGGAAAAGAGGACAAATACTGAGCTGTCAAAATGCCAGGCTCGATGGCGGCTTTGGGGAGAGCCCTGCTCGGCCGGCCGATGGGTGCGTCTACACACCACTGCGCTCGCGCGGCGGCACGTGCGGGAGGAAGAGGAGGCCGGAGAGCCCGGGGTGCCTGGCTTAGCGAGCGGGTCTACCCCAGCCTGCAGTCCCAGCCTGACCAGACTGGAGCACACCTTTCAGACCCTAAGCCGTCTCCAGAAGGATGCAGGTAGGCGATTAATCTGTAATTACTTTCTGCAGAGATCAATTCGTTCCCTGCCCTGTTTTTCTGCTGTCAGCAGTTCTGTCAATTTGCTTACCCTCACCGTGGCGTCTAATACAGAAACTCCTATCGATCTCGGCCGTCTTCACGCCAGCTCCTCAATTTTTTTTTTTTTTTTTTTATGTTTGAGGATATTGCGCTTCTGTGGTGAAATCTAATCTTACGCTCACTGCATCATTACTCTTGCATTAAATTGGAGATCTTTGCCTTTATTAATCATTACGGGTCCGGAGGCTGCGGGAAAGTAGGCTGTGTTGGGTGTGCCCCTGGCTCACTATACATGCTCTAGAACATGCTGGAATGTACTTGGCTGTGTTGGGTGTGCCCCTGGCTCACTATAGATGCTCTAGAACATGCTGGGGCTGTGTTGGGCATGCCCCTGGCCAACTATAAATGCCGTGGAATGTGCCGGGGCCCTCGTGTGCACGCAGCCCTGAATCTCTGTAAATGCTCTGGACTGTGTCTGGGCTGTGCTGGGTGTGCCCCTGACACACCGATACGTCCTCAGAATTGCTTAGGAGGGACAGGGAGCAAAACTGCCCCACTACGGGGAGTGGCAGGAGGGCGTTTCTGAGCCGGGGGAAGACACACTCTGTGGGGTGTGTCGTGGCCGCCAGCAGGGCCCGTGAAGATGCTGGAAGCAGTGTCCCTGGCTGGCTGGGCTGCGTTGTGCTGTGTGTCGCCCTTTGCTAGTGCCAGTTTCTGAATATCTGCCACGGATTTTTTTTTTTTTTTTTGAGACAGAGTCTCACTCTGTTGCCCAGGCTAGAGTGAGTGCCGTGGCGTCAGCGCCTAGCTCACAGCAATCTCAAGTCCTGGCTCAAGCGATCCTCCTGCCTCAGCCTCGCCGAGTAGCTGGACTACAGCATTTGCGCCACCATGCCCTGCTAATTTTTTCTATATATATTAGTTGGCCAATTAATTTCTTTCTATTTATGGTAGAGACGAGGGTCTGGCTCTTACTGCAGGCTGGTTTCAACTCCTGACCTCGAGCAATCTGCCCGCCTCGGCCTCCAGAGTGCTAGGATTGCAGGTGTGGCCACCTCCGCCTGGCCTGCCACGGAATTTTGTGGATGCCACGGTGGCAGACTGTCGCTACCCAGCCGTGACAGTTCTCGGAGGGTAACGTAGGGTCCTTGAATCTGCAGCAGGATAAAACTAGACCTATTTGTGCGGTTTTTTTACGTGAGGGTAACTCAATTTTTTTGACACTTTCTATTTAAAACAGCTAGCAGAAATCTAAAAGGTTATTCTTTCTTAAATTTTTGTTTCTTTATCTGTAAAGTGATGAATTGTAGTTGTGTGGGGTTACTTTTCCTGGAATAATTTGAGCTTTCTTAATCACCGAGGTTTAGTGAAGTCCAAACGTCAGACTGTAAAAAAAAAAACATTTAGATGAAAATATTTCTAAAACGTATTTTGATACTTACTACTTCTTAGCTAGAGCTCACTGAGCGTAAATCCCAGTGACTCTTGGCCACGAGTCAGAACGGTTACTCACACGCTGTGACGCGGTGTCGCCGTAGCGGACAGGCCGCTGTTGCAAATTCCACTCAACGGGAACTCGCCCCAGAGAAGCAGGTCTTTTCCTGCCTGTACTTTTGCTCCTTCCTTCCAATCCACTGCTCTCAAGTAATCACTTTTTATAGCTTGCTGCATTACACGCCTCTGTTTAAACCGCCCTCTCCTCACAGCCACGGTCTGTTCTCTGATGGGCTGGACACCGTAGCCACACACACCGGCGCTGTGGCAAGCCGAGGCGAAGCGGCCCCCGAGGAAGGGCCGGGCGGCCTTGGCTCGGCGTTGACGCTGCAGCGTGAGGTGCAGATCTCGACTGTGCGGAAGCCTGTAACACCTCTTCTCATTCCAGGGCAGTCAGCTCCTTTCCCCAAGCCCAGATGTGCCAGTGGCGACTGCTTTATTAAAATGGTCTCATTTTTGTGTGTGGTGTCTGCACTCTTACCTGGAATTCTCGCTCTTACTTAGATTCGCCAGTGTGCATCAGTTAAATGGCGTGTGGCCAATTGGTCGCTGGTCATCACAGATTCTGTGAAACTGGACGTTATGCTTCGGGAGGACCGTTTAATCTGGCTGGGGAAGCTCGGACGGTGAATGTTGGCACGGATGAAGAGAGCAGTCGGTTGTTCTCATTGAAGACCGAGGCTGTGAGGAAGGGTCGGTGTGTGACAAGCTGCTGGCTTTTCTTCCTCGGTTAGGTGATCATGGGTGGTCCTTGGCGTCAGATGGGCTGAGCCTTTCCTGTGATTGTGCGTTACTTGGAACATCTGGCTTTCGAGGTTTGTGTTAAAAGTTCCAGAGTGTCTTGGTGACGACCTTCAGACGAGTTCTCGTGAGCAGTCACCGTTGCGAGAGCCACCGTCCCGTATCCGTTGAGGGGCCCACGCAGACTCTCCTGGCCTTCTCCTTTTTTACGCCCTCAATTTTGTGAAGGAGTATGGGGGGCACGCGTAAGGTATTAGTGGAGACCTGGGTGAGGGTTATAAGCCATCTAAACTTATGCCAGCTTAACGTAGGGAAACTCCAGCACGGCTGCTGCCTTCTGCGAGCACAGGACGAAACGTGAGCTGCCCTTTTCCTCCCCTCCCATGCTCCCCGGGGGCTCCTTGTCAAGCGCCGGGGACTCTGTTCGCCTGCAGAACACACGAGTCACGAGGTAGTCCGGTCACCTCACTCTGAGAAGAAGCTTCTAAAATTAGAATTGCGTTTGGTTCCTTAACCCCGCACAGGGCGTCAGATTTGGGAGGCATGTTTCTTGGCCTCCCTCCAGCTGTGCGTGTTTTTTTTGTT